ATTTTATGGCGGTTTTACTCGAATCTGAACATCTGAATAAGATCGCTGATTGGCGATTAAGATGTGTCACTTTTAAGTAACATAATTGTTATTGCCGTTGGAATTTCAAAATTTTCGACAGTGGAACTAGAGAATTTCGACAAAAACCAACATTCCCATAGAACAGTCTGACCCAAACCAGGTTGTTAGAATAAACTGCATTCACACTGGATCAGTGATCTACTCTAGGATCCTTTGGAAGTTATTTACCTAGTATGATGTACTTTCATTTCGAGTCATTGAGATCAGAGTAGTATTATCAAGCCATTATGGATAAATTTGCTTCAAACTTTAGCACTTTTTGTCGATTTCACTTTACCAAAGGAGTCTATTCGGTGAATCTAAGATAACATTGATGTCTGAATGGAGGTAAGATTTAGAAATGCGTTTATTAGCCTGTTGCTAATATAAAGAAATATATGTAGTTATCTGTGACGTACGCTGAAATCGTGATGTATTTATTCACATAAAATATATCACTAGAACAACATTCTTTTACATAGCATTCTTGTTGAAAAACAATCTGCTTTAATAAATTCAAAAGTATCGGATTATTTAAGTGTTTGTCTCAGTTAGAACGCGTTATGGGCAACTTCAATAAAACTCTTCTTTTCTTAATTCAAGAAAAATCCAACGTTCAATTTCAACAAGAAACCTATACAGATGTTCTTAACCAATCCCAGTGTTTTAAGGGAGTGCATCAAAGGCGATTGCTGAATCTTTCAACGCATTTATCGGCATAACTTTTAATTTAATTCATAAGTGCCAGGAATCAAACAAGAAACTCTTATTTCGCTTCATGCTGCGAAATTATTTTTATTGCACAATAGTGGATGAAGCTGTTGAATGAGTCATCGACATTTCAGAGATCACCTGTCACCACTAGAATCTACCGAATACAACATGATGACACTGAATGACACGGCAACGACATGAACGCATTTTCGCAACACAAGTTGTGTGGAGCATTCAGAATGAAGCTTTTATTGCTTCTCTCCTGTTTCAGTGACGACTTGTTTTCCATAAAATGTGAAACGGTTGGTTGTGATGGTGATTTAAATTAGATGAGATGTTGAGTAGTATATTTTGATTGATGTTGAGGTGTGATGCAGATGTGATTTGTTGCAGGAGTTTGATGCTTTGTTCATGAATGAGGTTACTTACTAGTTTAGTGTTAATTGTAATTATGCATAAGCATGTGATATAAAAAAATATGATTACAGCGTGTTGGGAGGAACTGGATTTCTGCCAATAGGAAGTCCACTGTATTTATGTCATGGGCTGGATTTATTTAGTGATTGAGTGATTACGGTATGCCTCAGCTGGTTTTCATACTTATCAGCTACTTAGATTGAGATAAATATGATGTGGATATCAACGTATATTTTCTACAATATATGTTCTATGTGTAATATATGTATCTGCCTATGGAAATATATTTTTCATGCTGATCGCAATATATATATATATATATATATATATATATATATATATGCAACGTCTGCAATATATCGAAATGAAAACACAGCCTAGATGATTTAAAATTATAGGCTATCCCAGAATTAATTGTATTTGCGAAGACACTGTGTAATTCAGGACTTCATATGTGAATATCTGTGTGAAGGTTAGACTGAGTCAGTTATGAATATCATTTATTAGCGTTCACTAGAAAGAAAGGGAAATTTTGAAAACTCGCTCACTGCAGATCAAATTCTGGTTTTATTAGTGCAAGAGAACTGTGAAGTACACTGTTTGAACAAGTTAAACTTATTTCGTTTCATTTTAACAATAATAATTAAACTGAAGTAAGAATAACTTGGCGAATTTTTCAAGAAGGTAAGTATGACATTAATTTAGACTGGTAATCTACCACCACCACTGCTAAAATGCATTTCATGAAACGTGTTTTTTAGTCTGCCTGAATGATAATTTATCAGTGTACAAGAAAACCTAATTAAAAATATTCTCCGTAATCTGATGGAAGGTTGATTATTACCGAAATCTATTATTATTAATTCTGTGGTGGGGACTTATTAACTGTTTAGTTTCTTTCAGCTTGATGTAACATGCTGTAATGAAGTTTTTATGAAGATATAAATACTTGAAGCTTAGAAGACAGTCGCTTAGTTGAAGGTTTTCTCTTAGTTTCGGCTCTAGGTTACAAATAATCAATGCAGTTTCACAATCGTGGGGAAGTTTTCAACTCAGGAAATCAAAAGTTAATAAGCTGATATTTCGATGCAAACTGCATCCATTCACTGAATAATACAGTATCCGCTCACATAATATGTGATCCTTGAACTCTCTAACATGGAACAGCCAATCAGAAAGGAGACTGGGTAACCAATCAGAATTTAGTAAAAATAACTAATCACATTTTCTTGGACTGTGAAGTTAATCAACTCACAAAAAGTTTTACTCATATTAAGGTACAACTTTCTCCTAAAAACAATTAACAGTCGAGAGCAGTACTATTTCACTGAACTGCCTTGACAGATGGTCAAGCTCCATAAGATTAAACGATGTTAGGATAGGTGATACAGACCTTTTTGTGAAGTACTCAAAATTAAAAAGCCTATGTTGGATCACTTTTCACACCCATCTCAGACTAAATGACATGCACACACGAGAAGTAAGACAACTTTGAAAGTAAGTAAAACTAATTGACAGTTGTCCCATTTTTATCAGATTATTTCTAAAATGTCTTATTTGACAAGTTTTTTATCTGACAATTCTACTTGGCTACAAGATGTGACTTGAAACAACTACTACCAAATTTTGTTTCAAACTAAGTTAGTATACCTAGCTAACAGTTGAATATCTGACACTCTGATGTGTCATTGTTGACGGTTAACGAAGATGAAGATTACCTGGAACATGTGATGTAATAGTGCTATGCATTTCGAGCAGTCTGATCACACATGAACTTGTCGAACTATTTATAAGGAAAAGGGTCAGTTAAGTCAGTAGTTTATCAGCAGTTTATCATTAGTGGAGGTAAAACCCTTGATATTATTGAATTCAGGCGAAGTACGCCTTGATGACCTAAGAAATTCATAGACTCTATGTAATGTTGGCTTGTGTCACCAAAAGAATTTTTTTCAAAACTGAGAGCAGCTGGAAGGCTATCACTTGTCAGCTGTGCTCTCCCAAGACTAAATGGGTTTTTGTGTGAGCATAAAGTATTTTCGGAGTATAACAGCTGACTGTCATCTCTTACTGTGCTAACCACCTCTTGGCACAAGTCGAACACACTTCATTGTTATACAGCTAGACAAAAAGTAGGTTCATGCTACAGTTTGTAGTAAGACATGGAAACTGGTTGAAATCAATCTTATATAATAATGTATATAATTGTATTTGGGGGACTTTTAATAAACTTTGTGGTTTTATATATGCCATCAACTGATCAGACAGACTACTTAATTATAAACGTTATGATGAAAACAGTCTAGTTCTGCCTGAGTTTTTTTCTCATTTCATATAAACTGAGTTGGAATGAGCAACTGGTTTAGAATACAGACTGTCACAGGAATGGAACTTCTATTTCGGAAGTGGAAAATCCTAATTGACCTAATGGTAAAAATAATGTTTCAGTTGACAGAATAACTTTATTTACAGATAATGAGGTTGTTCAGTATTTTATATTTGGAGGTAAGTAGGGATTGTACAACTACTCACTCATCGGTATCCAATGTATTCTATTCTTTCATTCCGAAATGATACTGGAAATGGTTATTTAGTTGGTTATGGCTGGCAGAAAGATCCAGGACACGCATTCCCTCCTATTTGGGACTCATCAGCTGGATGTACCAAATAGGTCGAAACGCGAATCATGCATCTGTCCGCTAGCCACAACCAAGTAAATTACCATAAAAGATATTCAGGCAATATCGAGGCATCCACAAAGGAGCCCATATACCAACAGACGTCGAACAGTTCGATGCAGTATAACAACATTTTATTTCTTTAGTTATATGTATTACGTAGTGTAAAAACTTCATTTATGAAACTTGCTCTTCATGATCATGAAAAATCATTTGGAACTTTGGGTAAATTAAACTGATATGATTTATATTCAGATTAGTTAGAAGCTTAAGGTTCAAACCAACATTGACTTCAATCTCAATGCCTTGTATGGAGTTCCATAAAGAAGCCAAAAGTTTTGAGGTCAAGCATTCAAATGATGATAGTGACACTGAGAAGAACTATTGAATTATTGAACAACTGTTTAATAAACATTATGACTGTTGCGTTCAGTCTTGTAGAAAACTTCAGGTCAAAATTTTTGAAAACTCTCTGATGTGGATGAATCAGTTGTTCCCACCGTAGTTAATTCCATTACTCAGTCATATGATAAAATTCAAAAAACAACCATGTAAATGTTGTTGATGTCCCTTACAGACAACCTTAAAGTTTACATCTCATATCCTGAAATATAATGTTACCATGTAGTTATATGTGATAATGAAGTAATGAAATATGTGTCATCATCATCATTATCAACATAGGACCAGGCATTACTGCGTAACGGTCCGAGTTGCCACACCTCATATCAGCACATCAAGTAAAAAGGTAGTGAGGTGAAGGATGAAGATAAGTGAATGCAGTCAAAAGAAATATAAAGTACGAAAAGAAAAGAGAGAGGAGTGACAAAATAGTGAGATTCGGTATATCGTTGTTAAGATGAGGATAATGTGTGTATACATCTGCACCACTGACTTCGGTTCTGAGCCATATCATATGTGTAAATTTTTATTATCTTCGAAAAACTCACTGACCTCTGTCATCACTTTCCTTTGTCATTATTTTCCTTTGTCTTTCACAGCGAACCAACTTCACCGCATTGTCATCAACAGATTGAATGATCAACATCGAAGCTCAACAGTCATAAGCCAAACACACGAGAATTTTTAAAAACCATATTAAAACAGTATAAGAATAAAATAAAAACAAACTTCATGTTTTCTACTGATATATTAGTACTAACATTTCTATGTTTCTTAGCTAGTCTAATTGCTCTTGGGTATTTCATGCTATATTCTGATGGAGAAACGAACATTATGAAACGTAGAAAACGTACCATATCTATGAGTAAACCGTTGGATAACAAAAGTGCAAGACGTGAAATTGCCCGTTTTTATAGCTTCGACAAGCAAGCTCATCATAAAATGAGTTCATTTCCAAGTGAATTTGGTGTTGGTTATGGTGCTGATCAATCAAAAAGAGGTTCTGTTGGAAACACAAGTTTAAAAGTAATAAAAAAAACCTTCATACCTCATCACAAACAGCAAAGACGTAGTCTGCAACCAGTATCATTCCATCATTCATATGAAAATGATCATAGCCCACCCAGTCAAAGAAACCAAGGGATTAGATTTATTTGTGGTTTACAAACTCCGCCTATAAGCATAACTAAGCCTAAAACAGTACAACCAGACTATAGGCTATTTACACAAAAGCAGGGATTAACTCGAGCCTTCTCTGAAAGTTGCGCAACAATGCTTGTCAATCCTAACAACGATACAATTCATGTTAATAGTGAGACCAGTGATGACAAAAAGTTTAGCTTATCCAGCAATGAGACAAAAAGATGTATTCGTTTACCGAAATTAAGTGAGCCAAACCTAGACAGACATTTTCATCTATGGCTCAGTTGTTCAAAATTCAACACGCCAATATTTCACGTGGATAAATCTGCTACATCTTCACATGAATCTGTGTGGTTTGAAGCTAAACGTCGTTTAAGTAGTACAGAGGTGTTTGATCCTGTTATGCGCATTCTGTCCACAGTACCATTAAGAAATCAAACAGATGTAGACACATCATGGACAAACTTCACAATGAATCCAGACACAAATGGACATATATGCTTTTCATTAGTTTACACGTGTACATTGAGTACGCTGAATGTTACAATTAACCGGTTGATTGGTGTTAGTAATCTCATTAAAAGTTCAAATGCCCTACCCAGTCAAACTTCAGCAAATTTTGTTGTTAGTCTACGTTTACGACATAGCAGGAAGCCTTCAGTATATAAAAGTGAAGGGGAGGGAGAAGGAAGAAAAACAGATTCAGAAGCGGAAAGCGATGGTTTTCATAAAAAGTATTTCACTCAACCAGTTTCAACTTCATTAAATCCAAATTTTGACCAGTCATTTGTGTTTCAAATAACTTTGAATGAATTGAAGAATGCTGAACTGGTTTTAACAGTGTTACAATCAACAACAATGAACACTCCTATGGATGAAGGTGTAAGAGTAGGAGACAGTATACAAAGACGAAATAATTCTGTGACTTCCTATCATTGTCCACATGTTCATGATGTTGGCAAATGTTCACGTAGAGTGAATATAGTCTCTGAAGAGATGAGATGTATTGGTGTGACATTTTATCGATTAAATCAACATGAACTGATAAACTGTCCAGAAAGAATGCAAAATATCTGGCAAGAATTACGTAAACTGCCTGAGTTACAAGACACGCAGCTTGAAACGAACAAGGCAAATACTAATAATAAGGCATCAACAGCTTCCATTAATAGTCCTTTAGACTATGAAACTTGGGCTTTCATCTCAGAAAATGAAGAGCACAGTGTGAATAAAATGGAGAATGAAAAACTTTGGGTAACTACACATTTATCATTTTGACTGTCTGAGTGAGATAGCAATGATTTTCTCAGACTAGTATTGATAATGGGTGATAACTGAAGGTAAAATGAAAATTTGGGCCACGGTGGGATTCAAACCTGTGGTCACCGGGTCTTGTACCTCATTTGGTAGAGCACCCGGTCAAAAAGTAGGTAATCACTAGTTTGAATCCAACTGCAGCTCGAAATTTACTTTCAAAATCAATAATTACCCGGAGTCAACTACGCAGTTGCTTTAATGATTTCCAATTTTTTGATCATTCCCATTCTGTTAGACATATTCTATAGATTTACTGATACTGGGTGATGATTTAAGGTGGAGTGGAATTCTGGGTTGCAGCCTCTGGGTTACCAGTCTGGTGCTGTACCAACTGAGTTACGAAACTCAAATGACGATCAGATCCTAATTTCACTCCTCATCAAGGAGTTAGCCTGACTACTAATATCAATAATATAAGTCTACCGAACGACACTTGTCTCAGATAATCAGTGGTAGGCATTTATCTAAAAATTATAGAGTCAAGTGGTAGGAAAGGGAATACCAGTCAAATTAGAAGATTCTTTTAAAGATCAAATCACAGTGAAGATCAATAAGGCAAACCATTAACTGTGGAGTGAACTTGAGTTCAAAGACGAACTTAACGAAGAAAGTTAGTTATGATGACAAGTTGCTTTTGAACACATAAAGGTGGTTTAGACCTTCTGATGGTTAATGCCTCAACAAACTTAAGAATACATCCTCAACAGGAATTTTAAATGGGATAAATGATGTTTGTGGATCTACTTTATGCCTCATTTCACTAATACATTTAGGTTTTAAGAGCTCAAATGTTTGCTTCCACTATTGTTCGCTTTAGGTGACTCTATTGATTTCTGCAGCAACTTCCTGTGGTCCTTAATTTGAACCACCGATGAGTTCCGTGTATGTGTGTGTGGCCACATATACACTTAGATTGATAAACATAGTGGAGTATGGTATCATCTTTCACTTATTCCAAGGGCTTTAAATCTTTAATTATCCTATCCCTGGGTGTATAATATATTTAATTTATGGCTGCATTAAGTCTATCTGACTATCAGGCTATGTGCATCATCAGTGTATGGTAGCTCGATGAACAGATCTTGCTTTAGGACAGAGTTGACAGCATTTGTAATTGTTCTGTCCACTTTAAGCCAACTTATGAACTTCAGTCTGCAGTTGTTACCGATCAGCATCTCTGTCAATAATCTTATCCCTTTATCCAACGTATCGGCTATACATATTAGTTGAATTAGTGTAAATAAGCAGCTGACTTAACCTGATTTGTATATGGACGAACAGAAACTGTGATAATTATAATATCGTTTCTATGCAGGCTTTCGATAGATATATTGCTTTATTGATCCATCCTAACGTTTGATGATAAGTATGTCTAACAAAGACAAGTAATAGTTATTGTTCTCTTCTACTCTTTTCAACTATATGCTATTCATTTCAGAAGTGAAGTATCACAATATATATTATAACTTATAATTAGGATATCGTTCAAACATCTCTTATAGGATTGAAATTTTACACTTAAGTCCTCCGATAGCTTTTCAGTATACAGCATAAAAATATCTACTACAAGAGGAAGTAAGAGGCTTTCCATAGCAATACCAACATTATTCACTCTCAAATGTAAACTTTACATTGTTAGTATTTACAAGCAGTGAACGTTGTAAATGAGGTATTCGAGTGGGGATGAAAAAAGTATGCATGGGAATGTAACCAAACAAAATTTCCATTGTATGTAATTATATAAGTATTTTTTCAAAACATTTGCTTTCCGTTGTTTACGTCAAACTTACTGAGATGAAGTAACCTAGTGAGCGAGTGATACACTAAAATAAGTTGTCCAGAAAGTTTCAATGGTAGAGTACGTACAAATTCAAAATTTATGGGAGGATGTGGAGTAATTCCTCAGAAGAAGACGAACTCAGTTAACAAAGTAGTAAAAACTTGACAAAATTTCAATGTTACTTCCTTGATTGCTAACTTCTACGTTTTTTTGGACTGATACAACTTTCAGGTGTCAAACCACAAAATTCAAGTTAAATGATAATGATGGGTTGTGCAATCTGTTGATGCATAAGCAATAAACTATTCCTGTAAACCATAGTTTTATTGCAATAAAAAGCGATTATCCCCAAGTTGGTTTCACAGGAGAATGTTTACAGTTACTTAGGAGTTCACTGACTCAGTATAAGAAAAGTTTTCGTGAGATTTGCACAAACTTTTGATAAGAATCATTAACATGGAAAGGATTTTTACTAGATACCGTAGCTTCAGTTTTCATTGCTTTCATTTCTGAGATTATATTCAATTGCTAAACCATAATAAACTGTGTCAGTTGGCTGGATGTATTTAACAGAAAGCCCTGCATCTAGGTTTCATGCTTTTTGGCACTCGTCAGCAAGGCATATCTAAAGCATTGACGGAGCTGAAGTCCCGCCTGAAATTCGAACCCTCGTCACCCAGTGTTACAGTCAGCGATTTTGCCACTGGGCTATTCGGGCTGCGACTGACCTTCCGTAAGACTGGGTTAAATGCATTAATTGGTCATAGGAAAGCAGCCAAGTTCATATTGCCTAGTTCTGAGTGCAGACCGAATCCTATCGATCATATTTGCAATGTGGCAACCAAGCTAGGAAGATCAAATGGCTGTGCACCGCGATGCTGAGCCTCCTAGCTTGGTTGCCACATTGCAAATATGATCGATAGGATTCGGTCTGCACTCAGGACTAGACAAAATGAAACTGGTTGCTCTCTTATGATCAATCAATGCATGTACTCAACTGTATCCAACAAATGGAACCAATAAATTGATTTGCTTATCATACTACTTTAGTCAAGTGGAAGTAGGTCTACTAATATTTTAGAAACTCATAGTTTGTCACGTTTAATGCGCAGTTTCTGTACCTAATTGAATAATTGTAATACCTCTGTTCTAATTTGTGCATCTCAGGCAAGAAATACAGAGTTCAATTTTCCCAAAACATTCGATGTACAAATACTAACATCAACAAGACGAAAATCTGACTAAATAGTATTTGACAGGCATCTGTTAATGCATGAAATCCAGTGTTACTGATTGAAAAGGTTTCAAGAGCGATTCAATTTCACATGATGTTCAGTCATCATATTCTTACTTTACTACCTAATCACTTTTATGGATATTTTTTTTCTAGGCAAGTGGTATTTCAGATGTTCCTCAAAGAGAACCTGTTAACAAGTCGATGGCAAAAATATCCATTTTATACAAAAGAGAATCATCTATCCTTGAAATATGCGTGGAAGAGTTTACACATTTGAAGATTTACAAAAATGAGAGTACGTTTAACGATTCTTCATCCTTTACATCAAAGTTTTAGTTTATTGTATCCGCAAGAAATTACTGAATTACGATAAATACTAAATTTCTTCCCAGAAGAATGAAGAAAGCTTTTGAACAACTTGTCAATAATGACTGACAAATGTTTTCCAACTATACACAATAGATATAGAAACTAATCTAGTGTCTACTGAATGTGGGAGGTAACGAATCCACATGTATCGGCAAAGCACCTTTCTTAGTCACCCCCTTCAATGTGATAAGTGAAATCTCTTGGTTGCTTGAATGTCACAGGTGGATTATTCAACCTGGATATCTGCTTTCTGTTATATTAGCGCCTCTTTAAGGTACTGGGTCAGAATATCGAAACGTTCACCCAGAAGAAGTTGTAGGTATCGTTTAGGAGATGGCATCTGAATCATATGGCAAAAAAGGATGATTTTACTTTCCACATGCAATTAGCATGAAAATAAGTAAGAATAAGATGTATCATTCATTCGCTAATTAATTACAAACTGTATGGTTCATGTTAACATTCTTCATACTGACTACTTTCACAATCAGTAGGGTTGCTTTGGGAAAAGAAGAGCAACATAGATTGTAGTCTTAAATATAAATATCATGAAATGATGAAACAGACTACTCAGTAACAATAATTATTAAATAGAAGTGAGTGAAATTAGTATACCATTTTCTTTACTGAAGCAAACCTTGAAATAAAACTCACTAATAATGCGCATCAAAATGAACTATACAATCAGTAAATGAAGTGCTAATTATTCATCGTTTATATGTTGTGATCCATAAACTTCAACCACTTCCACTTAGAGCTTCTGGGTATTTTAAGTTCTGTCTGGGAGCTGAATTCCTCTGCATAAACGTATCATAAATGAACAAAATGATAATCTGCTGATAACTTCTTTATGATCTAACTTGATAAGTCTGAAAACCATTTTGGGCAGTTTTGGACTGCTTATATCATCCTCTAATACTGTGTTCAAGGCATGTAGGGAAGGAAAGGAGCTCAGTTTTTATTCGAGTATAATCTTATTCCACGCTTAAAAAAATGAATCTCCCAAAACTGCTGAATTAACTTGTTGAAAAAATACAAGCTACTTATATATAAAAAGTAGTTAAAAATCATCCCCCAAAATAGTTGTACTACAATGCTTTCCTGATATTTAACTCTTAAATTTGCCATTTGATTTGTAGCTGAAATGATGTTTCAAGCACTGTTCTGTCTCGGAAATACAACTTTATCGGTTGTAAAGGGTAGACCATTCAAAATACCAAAGCCAAGGAGTGATGAAGCTAACGTAGATGAGAAACAGAAATTCAACGTATATGACCAGATTTCAATTCCTAATACTGAGCATGTATCATTGAATGTGGATATGAATCGATTACTTAACTATACTAATGTTGGAGTCCTTTTGCAGGTATTTGTTCGCACAGACTTTTCACACCAGCCACGACGTTTGGCAAATATTTCAGTTGGTGAAACCAAAGTTACTCATGATTTGTCTCTACTTCAATGGAATGATTTGATCAAGGAATTAAAACGATTGAAAAATGATAACCTATTCACTGCAACAAAGAAGATAACTTATTGGCATTCAATCGATGCAGTATAATCTGTTCACTGCAGGCTGATGTCTGGTAGGAAAACACATGAGAGTTGTATGACAGTGTCCAAACGAAAGTAAGCAGAGAATAAAGAAAGCATTTGTGTATTCGAATAATCAAAAATATACCCCGTGACCTCTAGATATTTACTATCCCTTTTTTGCTTGTGTAGAACATGAAATGATCATTGTTTTTTAACATAAATTATTTATAATTGTTGTCGATGCAATCTGTTTTAGTTCATTTTTCGCCTGAGATTCTCTTTTATTCAAGAAACCACCTTTCAGTAGTACAAAAAGAAAGGTGTGAATAGGTTATGTAGATTTTAGTTACTTGAACGGGATGAAAAAGTTTATACTATTAAGCTTATGTAGGCTAATACTCGTGTGAAAATCCTACGTTGTATTTGAAAATGGCACTTAACATTGGTTCATTTTCAGTCTAAGTTGTAACAGAAATGAAAAGAGATAGTAATATTCATTGATGTAAGTAAAATAATTTTTATATCATTTATTAGGACCTAAACAAAATTCATATAACCTATGGAAAAATATTTTCATCTAAAGGTTTAATACTTGGAGCTTTTGGCAACATTTCAACCAACAGTTTCACGGTTGTCAGCCTGGTGTTTTACTGACTCATTCATGTATCCATTGTGATAAGCAGGTTTGAATTTTACCTTAATCACCAAATGTTGTGTAACAGCTTTTCGATAGCGTAATTAGAAGACGAAGTTTATCTGAGCAATGTGATGTATTTGCGCAATACGTTTCGAACAATCTGATCACACATTTACTTGTGAAGTCAATATATATTAAACCAAGGACTGGGAGGGGAGATAAATACAGTTTTTAAATTTAAATTTTTATATGGTTATTAAACTTCACTGTCCCTCTGCAAATGAAATGAAATAGAAAATAATCGTGTCAAAGGCATCCAGAAAAGGATAGACTTAGTGATTTCATTTACATAAATGATGAAATATTCTACTGATGAGTTTAGTTTTCAGTGACTGAATAGGCTGATCAAGGCTAATATTCAGTAGAATACACTGTTACAATAAGTAGCAAACTCCTTTTCAAATCATCGGTGTAAAATGTTTAGGTTTTACGCTTACCAGAAGTGTTGAATTGAATTCCTAATATTAGACTGAACTTTATCTCCTCTGTGCATTTAAGGCAAATGGAGTGTAGCGATACTCAATTCACCAAATTCAATAGCCTAGGGTTAGATGAGATTCAACAGTGATGCTGACCTTCATAGTTTTATCAGACCTGCTGGGTTGAAGGGATACGACCAAGTATCCACGCCATTTCACACGTTGTCGACTTACGTTGCACTACTCGTAATCGATCCCTTAGCCAGCTAGTCGGAGAACATTGGTATTTTGTCATGACCTCTTCAGTACATTATTCCCATCTGACTACGTCATTGTGTTCTTTATTGGTCTCGGATTCGTGAGTATATTACAAGTGAGAATAATTAGTGATTGGCCTCTGTGTTCATCAAGTTCGCACAAGGAAAATTTCCAAATAAGTATATCAACAAAATCCTAAAGAATATGTTGACTGGGAAAAAGTCTATTATTTTACTTAGATGAGCTGTTGATTTTCAGAATACATGTAAATAATGTCAAGGTAAACAGCGTTTACTGACAATCAGTATGAAGTTTAGGACTTACATCTCAGACCTGTTGCCATCCTTCAGAAAGATACATCTGCAACCTCGAAAGAACCGATTTTCCTTTGAAGATTCAGTCCTGAATCACCTAGTGTCGAGTTCAGAAATATTACTGGAACCGCTAAGTTCCGTAAGTTCAATGTTTCAAAGGTGTTTTTAATGTAGTTCCGTGGGAATGATAAAAAATAAACCTCTGTTTGCAAAATTCAGTGCTTGAAATCAACTCGACCCAAGGGATCAGAAGTCAGCTGTGAAAACTCATCTTGACCTTTTTTATTTTCACAGTCGACGATTAAAGATCGTCATAAATGACTAGACACTATTCATGATAGCCCACTTTCAAGCTCATATACTTAAGAACATCAGAGGGAACGACATCACATACCGAGACGAAGGTACATTCAACTGGTGAATTTCAAAAGGGATGAAACGCGTACCCTGTATTCAGGGTTGGTATTCATCATGGACTGATATCAATTGGGTAACCATTGAAAATCCGGAATGAGCAGTGGACAGCTGTTTCGTCCTCGTATGGGACTCGTCAGCAGTGCGCATCCATGACCCCACCCTCCAAGGATCGAACCCAGGACCTTCAGGTTCCATAGCCAACATGCCGCCATTGATCCACTTGGTCTAAATCCAGCGGTCCATATTTCCTACTTCTCTGCGCCCACGATATAGCACTGCCCCTGTTCAATGCCATTGCTGAGTAATTGTCCTTATGTTCGACTTGGTTGGCTCGACTGATCACGACTTTCATTGGAACCTCGGGAATCCCCTCTTGGAGTTAGTCACAAATAAACAATGAATTAATTCTCTTACATGATGATTACCAACCTGAAATCAATCAATATATGTCCATAAACCTCGAAACTGAATTATCCTGTATTCTTTTTTTGAGTTACCGTCATCCAACTTATAACGTGTATTATTTAAGCTCATCACCTTGAGTTTTCTCGTATTTGCTTGCACATGATCATGACCTATCATCTAGGAGGCGCGTTATGAATTAGTCAGTAGTACTGATATCACTGTGCACTCAGAGCGACTGTTTATGCTGGTGACGGACATTGAAAGGGGCAAAGTCATTTTGGGCGGAAAAGAAGTAATTAGGAAAATGGAAAGTCATTTCATGATTTTGTTACGAAAACCAAGCAAATGTTTGCTCCAGTGTTAGCTATTTTTGTAAGATGCTTTTGTGCACTGCAACTATTTCATATTGGTAAAAATATCGTACTGGACTATACCTTTATGTTTAATGTCTAAAAAAGGTCAAATGAACAAATTAAAACTATAAATATGAAGTATTATTTATAGTCTGTTCCCATCCCGCCTACTCATACATCACTTGAATAACTTCAGATAGAAAATTGGTTATGAAAGATGGATGCAGCTGTTGAATATTTATTATCCTTCACAGCAGAAATATCATTATATTTTATATTTTTCCTGCAATTATGACTAAAAAGGCATCATCCTTACAGATACAATGTTTCACAAGTGGTTTCAGTTACAAACTTACCATCTCCTATATTGTCATAAGACAAAGATGTAACATTGAGTTAAGTTTTCCCTTTCAACGATTCCAATTGATAAAGGTGTGCCTATAAGCACTGTAGACAAACAAAATTCGATTATTAATCAACAATCATATGATTGCTATAGTGTACAAGAGCAAAAAACATTGTTTCTGAAGACGGAAGAAAATCCTTACCTTGACCATGGGAAGGCTATTGAGTCCACTTAAAGTTTTGAACACAAAGATCAGGTTTGATCTCGTGAATGATTTAGCTTTGCATAAATGACCCAGTCACTATGAATTGTGAGGACTTAAATTGCTTTCAAGCAAGTGTGAGAGAAGAGATGTTGATAAATGAACTGAATAATTTTCCTAAACGCGTTTACATACTTAAACGCTTCACATGGTCAATATATCACACTTCAAATGAACAAACAAGTGATAGATGCACATTTAGATAGCCAAAAACGAAATTCTGCCGTCAATACAGTCAGGAATCAGTTATCTTGTGAAGAATGTGATTATCAGGTTTGATGAGTAAATTGTCTTTTATTAGCATGTCGAAAGATGTTATTTGAAGATAACAACGACAAAGTCGCGTTTGAATCCCAAGTTCATACAGAGGATATTCTTTGAGAAATCTGATAAAACTACATTTTCATCAATATACATGAATTTTCTCATATATAAAAAACATTAAACCAATCAAAGTGGACGTTTTAGGTTGTGGTAACAAAGAAATGAAGCATGCAAATAGTGGATATCTACATAATAATAATTGTTTTTTGACCACATAAAGGAGGTTCAAGACACTTTTATGTGCTGAAGACCAATTGGTCAGCACATTAAATATTCCTTAGTAAATTTGGATTTGAATCCAACGTTAATGTGCCATTTACAAAAGTAGAAATAATAATAATCATTATTATCTCAATGATGATAAGAATAATGGGAACAGCAGAGTGCTGCCGACACTTAAACAATCAATATAGATCACAACTTAGAAAAATAAAAGTTAAGTAATACTAAAGGATAAAATTTGTAGATAATCACAGTCTTGGCACGTAAACATGTATGTGAAAGAGGTGAAGAAGGGAAGGGGATGAAAACTGAATTTATCTTTAAAGTCACTGATTAAGTTTTCTCTGACTGAGGCAACTAGTGATGTTCACCAGGAATGTCCACTGTCACCCTTCCTATTTAGCTTCGTCATACTCATGCAAATGGGCATAACCTATGTAAGTCTGACTTCACAGGGCCATAAAAGTCGGATGTCAAAAGTAGTGTGATTAGATTGATATAAATATTAGCAGTAACTTTCGCTATAAACGTCATCAAGTAGATAATACTGTATCACTGTACGATATACATCAAATAAGCAAATCTATTATGTAATTACATTCTACTGCAGTGCCCAATTTTTACACTTATATTAATGAGATAAAGATTACCAAGGTAGGTTTAAAGTAAGTAGAAATAGTTTTCGAGTACACAAAGGGATTGAAAGTCTCCTATAGTTGTCTTCATTGATCCTTAATATACGGTCCTGGAGACTCCTATACAATGGTCTGTTTCGGGTCAGTCCTGTGACCTGTTTCTAAACTCTGTTTAACTGTAGGGAATAAATTTTCTCTGCCCCCTGTATTCAACGGATTATTTGAATGTAACTGTTTTTTTAGTCACTTAGGGATATGTTCCACCAACCTTGACTTCTTAGTTCAGTTACTCCTACCGTATGCGTCACCGCACACATGTAAATTGTTATACGCAGCGGGATGTAACGTAACTAACTACGTATTGGTGAAGTTTATTTTGAAACAGCTTTAATTTTCTGTAAAACGTTGAGCTTGATTTCAGAGTATGTTAGAAGAAGATGCTGACAAGATGCAGAATCATCTACTAGACACCTTGAATGACAAGTTGAGAATGTTGGAGGTGAGTTTTTCACTAT